GTAAGATATTTATTTCAAACCAAGGTTGCGCTAAATATCTTACAATACGACATTAAGGGTGTAGTTAGGATATTGACCATTGTCATTAAATGACGAAAAGCCAAATCATGCTTGCCTACTGGCTGGTAGTGTTGCAGCGCAGATTTCTCAGCATCACGTTTTCTTCTTTTCTTTTTTTGTGTTCCCTACACCTATCAGGTTTGTACAATACTCTCTGATGTTCACATGATGATAAATCCATTCTGCGTCTTCTTGAAGTAAATGACACAGCTGAACGATCGTGGTTGTGCACGAATGTCATCAAGGCGGCTTCCTATAGCAGACTTGCGGGTTCGCGTGATGAATCTGATGACGAGCATTGTTGCGGCTCTCGTGTCTTTGCAATTTAAACGAAAAACAAAAGAAAAACGAAAGTCACCCGCACGATAAACGACACGATGACACGCACTTCAACGCCGACCTGCGTATCTTCGCCTATAGTTGCAAGCACACCACTTCCTGACCCGAACACCTACTGAGCTCGGAGTAATCCGATTTGATCGCGTTCGGTTTCGTGGCCTTCTCGGCACGAAACGAAGGTTACTGAGAACCTTTTATTGCCGATCAACGTGGCCGAAAGGCCAACCGCGAGTCACTTCAAGCGGGCGAGTCGGCTGGAACTTTCCACCTTTCGATTGTGATGATGCGCCGTAAGCGAACATCAACAAATGCCACGTGCTACAATGTAAACAGATGGATGTTTCGCAATGCGGCTAGAGACACAAATAGAGAATACCGGGCTCGACCTCCTGAAAGGGCAAGTCAACACAGCTCGCATGCAGGGCAGCGCGAACAGATGCGCCTGTGCCCGTCGCTATGACAACGCCCGCTCGTCACGTAACCTCCACTTCACCGCACTTACGCGCCAGGCGGCGGAGCTACACGTCGCAGATGCCATGTGGGTCAGCTTGTCGTAAACAGGAGAAAGAGATTTTTTTTTTAGGTGTTCGCTTCTACGTTGACCGTAATTGAGCAGTATGTGTACCCAGCGTCTTAAAATGATGGGTACTGCTCAATTATTGAAACTAAGCTGCCTGCCGGGTACATCGTTTGTTCAGAGCCTTTCTTCGCATTTTGTTTACTCGCTTTTGTAATTCGGTGCACCACAATAGACGTATGGCTTCAAATACCAGAGACCACTAGTGATGCCACCTCAAGTGTTTTTGAGAAAATGATTTACAAGGGGTCCCTTCATTTAAAACCCCTCAACCCTCTCTCTTTTCTTTTCTCGGGCGCAAGTAACACGTCAAGCTTTTGCTATACCAAGTTCTCGGAATCCCTCGTGCAAGTTTCGAATCATTTCTGTGCATTTACACAGGCTCTTTATTTTATGATCTTATAAAGACAACGCCATCAAGACGTTCAAGGAAACTCTTGGGTTCGTGGCCAACAAGTTTACAAAAGAGCGCCGTAAAAGCATCGAAAGCTTTTCTTGAAGACAGTGGCTTTTTGGCCAATATTAGCGGACTTTTTTAACGTGACAACTACATTTACGTGACGGTAGACTATTACGTTGACAATTACGTGACTGTTAACTATATGCATTGGTTACTTTTTCGTTTGTTAGCATCAACGCACATATATGACATTGCTGAATTCGCTGTTTTTAAATATCATGTCCTGCTATATATTGTATATGAAGTTGTTATAATTGTATACTGCATGATCAGTGTGCTTCTTACGCTTAGAAACTTGAACCCCACATGCTGTATGTTAGATACCTCTAAATGATAAGGAGTAGCCGTTGCCTATAATTTGTGCGCTGACATCTCCTTACGTCACGTCAGTAAAACAAAAAATCATATGGTATTGTTTCCTTTTGAGCAAACCCTTGAGTAACTCTATTTAAACACACTCCTACGGATCACCGACTGTCTGTTTAAGATATAAATGTAATGGCTAGATCAGTTGCAGTAACTTCCGTTCATCTCACCTAGAGATATAGACCTTTATTGAAGCAAAAGGATTCCTGTCGAGACGTTGCTCATATCTACTCAATCTTCCCTCGATAGTTATCTTTTACGAAATTCTCAAGCTTAGAATTTGCGGGTTGTTCTGGGCTCTCTAGCTAATTACACCATTTTTATAGGACGTCGCTTTTATTTTTTTTCTGCTTTTTTCCCCTTTATTGTTAAACAAGTATATCTCCGATGACTGCGAGACGAATCGTCCTCGCAACACGCACAGAATGCGGACGCATTTTTTCCCAGAATTTCTCCTCAGTGGAAATGTACCGTGCCGCAAGGATACTCGTACGACGACCGGCGGGAAATGTATGCAGCGAGATAAACCCGTCTGACGTCTTAAGACGCTCGGAATAGGCCCGCGCGCATTATAAACACTGCGCAACAAAGACTTCCCTTTACAACCGCTCGATAACGATCTCTGCGTCACGTCTGTCTGACCGGAGAGACGGGTGGGGGCAGATAAGCGTCGTATGAAACACCGTGCGAGCCGACCTAAGCGAGAACCGTGCGATTCACCTGACCCTTTGAAATCATATACAGAAAGCCTTTTACGACTCGATCGTTTATGACAAAGCAGTGTGGAAGAAGGGAAAGTTAAAAGAAACGAGCAGGCCCAAGAACTCCTTCAACCGTACCCTCATTCCCAGTGGTTCACCGTACTATATGCAAACCAACTATTCCAGCTGAGGGCCCTCGTGCATAAAGTAAACTTTATACACTGTGTTAGTTAGTACCTGTACTGCAGCGGAAACAAGTGGCCTTTGATATATAGTACACGGTCAAAAACGAAAATGAGTCACAAACGTGTATGCGTAGAAAACGTAATTGCCTATGCATAGCTAACTTGAGTCCATCTCGTTTTTGTCAACACCGAGCGAATAATTAAAATAAATGACCCTTGCGCGTCTAATGACCTACCGCTCATGTTTTTGCACTCGTGATACGGAATGTTAGGTGCAGTAAGTTAACTATATCGCACCCTTTCTCTGTCACGATCGACAAAGCTCAACTAGTTTCCACAATTGAGTTTTGGGCAATTGCTACATGGCGTTGTAGAGTAGCAGGCTAGAGCGAACTAGCTCAGGCCGACCTCTCTGCCTTCTAATAAAATTTCACACACACTCTCTCTCTCTACATGTTGAGCCTTGCGCCATGTGACACGAATTCTAGCTCATAGAGATTGCATTGTTTACAAACAGAGAAAAAAAAAAAGAAAACAGGATTCAAACGTGTAATTTAAGACATTAACAATTTTGCCTTGAGTCTCATAACTACTTCACGTCTACCCAAATTTATGAGGCCACACCTTCGGCTGTCTAGACGGTTAACTGTTGGAGGTAAAGGATGCGACATGGTACGCTACCTACATCAAGTTTCAAAAATGAAGGTAGTCTGCACATTTGACTATGCGTACCTTTGTGACGACACCTCTGTCAGCTTAAGAACCGTGAGACCCTGCATATGCATGCGTGTTGTGTTTTTAAAGTAAACTTAACTTCCAGCTTATTTTAATCACCAATATGCACTTATCACGATTGTTTATTTTTATTTTCTTTGGCACGCGTTAACAGTGTTGATTCAGCGTCGCATGTAGACACATGACGTGAACCAAACATAATACAAAAAAAAACTTTGCGAAAGTGATACATGCGCACGTTAGCACTGTACGTTAGTCCAGCTCTTAGAACTTGCGGAACTAAACATCTTCAAATTTATAGTTTACAGCCTTATAGTTTATAGTCACAACCTTTCTGGCGATACGTTCGTGCTAATGCAAACATTTGTCCCAAACCACAAACTCGCACTTGTGTATGTATATACTGCAGTTGTAACGTCAACATCCCCTCTTCCACCTCGCCTTCTTTTTCAGTTTCTTTTTTTTTATAAAATAACCTACGTATTTGAATTGCAGAACGTTGCTGTAGCCTAAACGTCACTTCAGCTAAAGTTGATTGATCTTTTTCGAAAAGTTGCTTTTTCTGAGCACGTGAGCCAAGTGGTGAAAACGGGACACACATTGTGTGTTTAGAAAAAGTGGGCGACGATTTAGAGTGCTAGGTACTCTACTATAAGTGAGCATGAAGCCGTCCCAGGAGCTTCACTCTTGATGAGGCCCAGTTGACGAAAATTACATCATATGCAGTATTGTAATATGATTCTGTCTTAGGGATAAATCCCCAAGTCTGGCATCACTGCAAACACAAGAACATCCCGAGTATATGCTTTGCACAGTAGTTGCGCTTAGTCGGCGCTTTCTGCGTATTACGTCCCACATTATGCGATACATATATATGCGCGCAGCTGCCGCAGCACGGCGCACCGTACGCAGCACAACACGTGCGAGCTCACATCCTGACTTTAGCGGCACCAACCGTGCTTTTATCCGAAGTAAACATACCCCACGTGACCAATCGTTTCGTTATTTGTTTTCCTTTGCGTAGGCCAATTAATGGAATTCGTATTTAGAATGCAAAACTCGCTCGTTTCGGCGTTTCGTTCCATTGCACCTCGCAGATAGAGAACGCGCGTAATCCTTTTATCAGCTCTTCACTGCACGACGGGCATGCATGGTCAGTGTGCCTGCTTCCTGCAAGCCGGAAAAGTGTTTGGAACCCACATTCTCCGCAGTTGCTTGGGATCGATATGCATTCGATCGCGGCACTTCCGCTAACGATATTGACGACCCGGTTGCCGCCCGTTAAGACGACCACGATTGCTGTGAGCACGCGAAAAAATAAATAAATAAATAAAAATCAACGTTACAAAACGAGACTGAGCAAGGTTGACCACATCGCAGGAAAAACGAAAACGTTGAGGGAATCCAAAAGGAGTTGAGAGTGTTGGGGGAGCAAAACACGAGTCCACGGACTTCGGAAAAAAAAAAGAGTATTCGCACGAGGTGTTGGCACATACTGCCAGCGTACTCTTCGTCATTTTAAGTTAACTGTCATCAAAACTAAAGCTATTAGTAATATGAGTCGACGGTAAGCTCACCTTATATCGCATCACTTTGACGGGGGAGTAGGCCATGGCTCTCCGAGGTGGTGAAGATGCCGCTCCTTTGGTCTGGAGTCCGTGGCTCGAGGTCGGAGCGAAAACGGCTCTGCGCAACGGATGCTGAGAAGAGAAAGTCTAAGGCGGAGGCACTGGAGGCTCCCCTCGGCGTATCACAGATCGGGGGTTGCTGATTGTCTCACGAGCAGGATATTCACCAGGTGATGCAAGCAATCCCGTTGTCTTTGGTCTTCTCGAGATGGCGGGAGAGATGGGGAGGGACCAGAAAGGGGGGCAAATGATCAACACTTATCGAGGATCACGAGTTGCAGTTGCTCTCTCCTTGCTAGAGCACGCGACACATACGCGTCCGGACGTGAGGACTGTACTCCTCTTACGTGGCGCTATGTTACTCTCTCTCCCTGTTCTACCTCGCACGAGGAACAAAAATAAAAGCCAGAAGGCTGACTTGTGTGTCCTTTCTTTCTTTCGCACAGGCGGCGCGAAAGAAACGAGAAGAATAAAGTGCGAAATCACGCAGCTGGCGCTGCTGCTCTATATAGCGTTTCGACGCTATAAGACGATCTCAATATTGGCGTGCGGCGGAAGCGTTCTATGCACGGCCAAGTGCGGCGCACAACTTCGCGCGGTTCTCGAATGAATGGGAAGGGGCCGCCTGGCGAGAGTGCGCGAGACTGGATAGGAAATGCGGAGGCACGTGCGTCGTGCCCAACCTCTAGCATACACACTGCGAGCGGCGGCCGCGCGGATAGCGCATTTTGGCCCCTCGCCGGCTGACGTAGCTGAGAGGGCTAGTGGATCGACTTGGGAGAGAGCGCCGACGCGCGTCACGCCGTCCGAAGCCGCGGCGCGGCGCTGTCGAAGGGAGTTGGTCAGCGTGATCCAGTTTATGCAGGAAGGGCGCACGCCGAGTTATCTTCCGTCGCGTCGGTGGCTCGTCTGAGTGTGTTTGTGTTTTTCGTGATCACAGGAGCGCGCACGAGGGGTGCGCCCCCCCCCCCCCCCCTGGTCCCATAAAATGTTGGGCGCAAAATATGCCTCATAGATTGACTGTCGATCTATGGAATAACCCCTCCCCCTCCCCTGAAGGCGAACCCTGCACTTATGTGCGTGAGTGTTTGCGTGTAAGTAAGTGAGTGAATGTGCTCGTGGCTTGAGTCATGAAGGCACGCTTGTGTGCCGCTATGCTTTGCGAATTGATGATGGGGGGCAAATGCTGTATAAAAGCAGGAAAATAATAATAAGAACGCACGCTGGCTATGCTAAAATCAACAACTTTTTCGTATTTTCGCGTTTACTTTCTTTCATTATTTTTTGTCCCTCTTAGGAAAACAACTGTGATGCATCGATGGAAGAACTTTGTAGAACACGAGAAACGCGACTAATAATCCCAGTATTTTCTGTTTCGGGCATGTGCTCTTGCGCGGCCACTGGCTGTTGTTTCCCGTTACCTGAACGCCTTTGATGCGTTTGTGACCGACGTTGACACCGAAGAAACAGGAATAAAAAAAGGGAAAATGAAATAGCCTTTCGCTTTAAAATGCACAGATACCACAATAAACGAAACAAGCAGAAATGTACAACGAGACCTTCAATGAGTGATGTTGGTAATAAATAAACCTCACACGTGAACGAAGCTATGTAATGCTGTCCCTTCTGCACAGTGCTCCCTTCTGAGAACAATTTAGCACCTCGCAAAACCACCTCGAAAACGCTGCGTGAGCCGTAATAAAATTTTCTCGAGGTTGATCGAATCGCACCCGGAAAGTTTTGCTACTCTTGCGCTGAACTGTGATCGAGAGTGACATTTTTGTTACAGTGTATCAGGTGCCAATTCACCGGAGAAAAAAAAATGGCAATGGTTGCAGACAGTCGACAAACTGAAGACACCGACACTCTACAGACTGAAACAATGTTAGAGGTCGGGAACTCGATTGAAGTGTAGGGACCCAGTTCGCAAAGTATTTTTTAGGTAAGTGACCTTTTACCATTGGCTAACTGGCTTCGCTAATTTACATCTCCATCATCACAGTTGCCCAGAATGTTTTCTCACAAACAAAGATCGCGTAAGAATTATTTTGCGAATCCGGGCTCAAATCTCAGACATGTAAATTGCTCAGTTTAGCTGACCTTATAAATCTTCTGACTAACCTGGATATTTTTCGTTGCCTCAGAAACAGGGCCGAAACGGGGCAGGCAGAGGAAGAAGGGGGGGGGGGGGGGGGAGGACATGACTTTCCCTGTAATCCCCGCTAGCCCCCCCCCCCCCCCCCCCCCCTCTGTTCACCTTCTCCTTATTGTATCCTCACTGAGACGGTTATCGTATACTGCTCCCCCGTTTTCCTACTTTTTTCACTCCAGCATTATTGTTTTTTATGTAATAGTATTCTTAATATCTTGCAGGAAAAAAAGCTCCACATTTTGTTACTAACCTCCCTTTAATTGCCCTTACTTCACAAATATTATATAAATAGAAAATAATCAAATTAAACCTGCTCTGCGAATATTCCTTAGTAAATTATTTTCGAAGTGATAGAACAAAACGTCACGGCTATATACGTAGTTTAGCTAACTTACCATTAAATCATTCAATGCGCCTAAACCAACACTCTGAACATTGGCATGTGTCAAGACCACGCACAAATTATGGTTTCGAGCCATTGTGTTATTGCTTGCCAAAGACACTAAATAAATTAGGAGTTCGTTGTGAAAATGTTCGTATGCTCTCTAATAATTCTATTTTAAGTATGCTTTATTAGTGTATGTGCGTAATATTATTTTCTGTTTGTATACTTCTTCTTTCCGATGTATAGCATTGCGTTGCTGGTTTGTATAACTTTGTAGAACTTCTTTGTTCCGATGTTAAGTATGTGCATTGGTGGTTTCAACTATCTATTGGTTTATTTTGCTTTCGCCGTTTTGTTGTTACAGTGAACATGGGGATGTGGGGCGTCGTAAAGCTGTTTTATGCAGTTTTTTTTTCCTATCCCAGCTACTTACTGTACAACTGTACGTGTTAAATAAACTAAACTCAAGAATTAGTCATCGTCTTCCTACAGGCAAACATTGCCAAAACACAGCGCTAACTCCCCTTACCTCCTTGCCCTCCGAAGGAACTAACTTGTCATGCGGTCTAAAAGTCACCCCCCCCCCCTTACAAAGCATACATGTATGATTGATCTCCGTCATCCACAGCACCAACGAAATCTGCAGCTGCGGATAAACGCATATTCACATGGGGATGTGAAGTGGGTGCCTCCTCTGTACGCAAAGCGATGAATTAGGGCATGGCGGGCATTTCACAAGTGTAATTATTTCGGGAATTCTAGAAAAGTTTACAACAGCCAATTTTATGCGCTCAGATGTTGCTTTTTTCGCGGCACAGTCGAGACGTTCACCGAGAAGTGGAGCGGGGCAAACGAATTAGTGGTGGATGGTGGTGGTATTGGTTAGAAGACGAGAAAATGCACCTAATTTCTGCAACCCGGTCGGGAGCACGGCGCAGAGCCTGAATTAGTGGGAGATGCGAATTAGGCCCGATTACGCTATTGCGTTCGAATCTAAAAGGCGAAGCTCATGCACCCTCCAGGTTATTTTTTTTTAGATACGCACTATAATTTTAACCAGTACATTGAAAAAAGGATAACAGTATCAGGCTCTTTTTTTTGAAAGCTCGCTAATACCTATACATTCCGCAGAATGCATGCCTTAAAAAAAACAAAAAAAAAAAAAACTGGGCAGCTAGGCAGTAGTGGCGGGAAGACCAAGGAAAGAGCGAAGCATGTGGCGTTGCCATTCTTCTTTCCCTCTTCCTCACCTCATACATCTTCCGAATTCTTCGTTATGATAATATATACTAATACTATGTTATAAAGAATATAGTACACAATACTACGCTTGGCATTACTCTCTCTCCTTTTATTTACGCGTACACCACCTTTTCACGCCCTTATATACCATACATAACCATCCTTGCTTCCTCCGTTTCTCTCTCTTCTCATGTTTGTTTCTTCCAACCTCTTTATCGCTTTGATTTTTTTTATCTATCTTTCTCGCTCTTTTGTTCCCTCTATTTCTTTTTATACCTCTCTCTGGGGTGATTTCCCCGCCTTTTATTGCTTTTATTTTTTTTTCGACATTTTTTTCAAGTTTTATTTGTGTCCCTCTCTCTTTCTGTCTGCGTCCGTTCTTTCACCTGTCAGAGTTATCACCTCATGCCAGACATAACGGCGCACGTGTTCTGGTAGTGAAGAAAAGGATGAAGACTACGAGGGGAGCACATGCCAATGCACTATGTTAACAGTTTCCTGGTGTCGTCATACGGCATAACAAAAAGCTTTACAGGCCCATTGTCGAAAGCAAAAACAAAAAAAAACCGTTAGGCACACCCTATAATTCTAAAATAAATAAATAAATAGGTAAATAGATAAATAAATAAATACATAAATAAATAAATAGGTTTTCTTTACTCGTAAGGTTCGTCATTATTTTTTTAAAAAGTGGAAAGCCAGAGTGCTATTAGGCCTGCCTATACAAGGTCCTTTTTTCTTATTGCAGCAGATTTTTTTTTAATAGGAAACCTGCAACAATCAGGCCTTCCCATGCAAACTGTACGGTGAGGTGGAAATACTTTCCCACGGTTGAAATACCGTTGCGACAAATTAACAACAACTTGTTAATTAACTATTCTAACTATTGACTTCAGGTCAGTTGTTAACGTACTAATGTTGCAGACCATCACAGTGAACAGCTGAACGTAATTCAGAATATTCATCATAGAATTTTAAGCCCGACGTCGAAAGTGATCACGGCCGGCGCGCAGGAAGAATGACCGCTTTGTTACGTCAGACGGTCCGCCGCGGTGGTGTACTGGTTAAGATGCTCGACTGCTCACTCAAAAGTCGGGAGCTCGATCCCGGTCGAGGCGATCACATTTCGATGGAGGCGGAACGGTACAGGCCCGTCTATACTGTGTGATGTCTATGCACAAAAAAAAAAAAAAAAACAGATGGTCAAAATTACCGGAGCCCTCGTCTACGACGTCTCTCAGAATCATGTGGTGGTTTCGGGCCATCAAACCTAAGATATTATCATTATGAGCAGCGGTTATCTTGCCTTCACGCTACGTGTCCTGCCCGTGACCATTTCTTCTTCTTGATTTCAACTATAATATCCTTAATCCCGGTTTGTTCCCTGACCCACTCCGCCTTCTTCTTGTCTCTTAATATATCATTTTCCGTTCCATTGCTGGCTGCGTCGTCCTCAACTTAAGCTGAACCCTCTTTGTAGTCCTCCACGTCTCTGCTCCGTTGGTAAGTATTGGCAAGATGCAGCTGTTATGTACTTTCGTAGTGGTAATCTACCAGTCATTATTTGAGAATGCTTGCCGAATGTGCTCCACCCCATTGTTATTCTCCTAGTTACTTCAATCTCGTGGTTCGGCTCCGCGGTTACTATAGCTGTTTTAAGCAGACGTACTCTTCCACAACTTCAAGTGCACTGTTACCTATCTCGAAGCACTGTTCTCTTCAGACATTGTTGTACATTACCTTAGTTTTCTGCATATTACTTTTAAGGCCAACTTTTCTACCCGCCTTGTTTAAATCAGTAATCATGAACTGCACTTCGTCTCCTGAGTTACTCAGCATGCTATGTCATCCGCGAAGCGCAGGTTACTAAAGTATTCTCCTCTGATATCCTTAACTTGTCCAATT